CCGCCGTCCGGCCGCTCCTGAGGGCTGGCGCTGGGGAGGCGGAGCTGCCGAGGCGCTCTGGGGGGCCGCTCGCCCTTCCCCGCTCCGCCCCAACGGCCGGGGCTGAGGGGGTGCCTGGTGGGGAGCGGGGACAGGCCGGGGGCGGGCGGAGCGGCCTCGGTCGGGCAGGGCCGGGGGGCAGCTTTGGGGCCGGGGCGGGCCGGGCCGTGCCGGGGTGAGCCGGGGCCACCGGCAGGTGAGCGGAGCGCCCCGCCGGCTCTGCCCGCCTCGGCGGGGGACGGGCTGCGGGCTGTCGGCACCGCCTGCCCGTCGGGAGGTGCCCCTGGGGCAGGCTGCGGGAAGGGACGGTGATAAGGAGTGAACTTGCACGGGTGAACAGGGGTGAAACGGCCCGTCCCTGCCGGGGCAATCCCGGTCTCGTTAATAAACACTGCCGCCGTGTCCAGCCGCCTGGTGTCCCCGTGTGACACAGCCCTGCCGGGTGGCACACAGCAGCGCCTGGGGAGCGGAACTTCCCCGCTCCTGTGCTTTGTTTTCATTGTTTGAAGCAAAAAAGGGCGGTGGGGTGTGATTTAACATAACGGGAATAGGTTTATGCCACCTGCTGCGGCTGGGTCGCGGCAGATTTACAGGCGGTGACAGGGCAGGGCTGGTCAGCGCTCGCTGCTTTCATGCAGAACAAGGTTCGATGTTGATCTGTACTTACTCGTTATTGTAGCCCTTCTTTTTAAGCTGCCATAGAATGGTAGAATGGTTTAGGTTTGAAGGGACCTTAAAGACCATCTCATTCCAAACCCCCTGAGATGATGGGAGGGACACCTCCCACTAGAGCAGGTTTCTGAAAGCCCCGTCCAGCCCAGCCTTGAGCATTTCCAGAAATGAGGCATCCACAACTTTCCTGGGCAACTTGTCATTTCTTGAAACATACATGCAAGTGACAGGTTCTCACTGCCTGAATCTTACTGTTTCGTACTGTGAAGCCAAGAGTTTATGGTTGAAAGCATGGGGCAAAAAAAGTAAGTCGGACAGAAAAAGAGCACTCACCAACTCCATTAAATCAGCAACCCTTGTATTAAAACATATTTTCGTTACTGTTGATTACTGACAATTACTACCAATTTAAAACTGCCTGATGTTAGAGCCACAAGCAGGATTGAAATGAAGTTTGTGTGATTTGTCATAGCAGTGGAATAAAATGGAAATTTGGAAAAACATAGTTGTAGGAAAAGATGCAGATAAAATGCCTTTTATCAGAGGAGTGAGTGACTGGGGTAATCGGGAGTTTTTGCAGAACTGCATGGAAATTGGCAAATCAGAAGACAAAATACTGCTGACAGCAGGGGGTATAATGCACTTTACAAATGCAAGAAAATATTTAAGCAGGTATTATTCTTGTGTATTTAGACTTTGTATAGGAATAATTGAACTGTCAAATAGGTGTTGCAGTGGCATTTCTCCAGAGTTACTGTATTACGCTTCAATACTGGTGCCCTGGTTATGATTTAAAAAACAACAGCAGCAACAAAAGACATTAACTTTTTGAATCATCAGGCTAGCTTAAGACATGGAGTGAAAGGTGATGGTAAAATGTGTTTCCCGGTATTCTTTGTGTAACTTTTCAGATACAAGTTTCTTTTTTTTTTTTTTTTTTTTTTAAATACACTTGAATAGTCATATTGGGCGAGATCCTTACCTTGTGTAAGGTAGCATTGTTATATTGAAATCAGTGGCATTTTTTTCTTTACACCAGCTCACATATTTCTTTCAGTAAAATGTTGTTTTGAAAACTGTAATCCGTGCGTGGTTACAGTTTCAGGTGTTTAATAGAACTGGTGTTTTTCCTTTTCACCTGTCACAGGTATAAAGTAAATAATACACATTCTAAACCAGGGAACTTCTTTGTTCAGAGCGTGCTCTTGCAGTGTAGCAATTTTCATTTTGATTAGTAACTCATTTTTAATGTAAGACATATAACCATTTGTAGTCCTTAAATATGGACTGCTTCTACTATGATAGGTAGACAGGTTTCTCTCATGCTCTGAGAGACCTTGGTGTTCCAGCAGGACTTTAGCTTTCTGACACCTTTATATTCGATTAAAATACAGCAACATCGTTGAGTAGCGGTTGCTGTAAAAGGTTCTAAACCATCATTTTTTCACTTTTGTTGTGTATGAGGAGTGAATAACTCTGGCTAACTGTGAGGCTTCATAAACATACTAACGCTTTCACTTGATACTTTTTTTTTTTTTTCTCCATAAAGTTAGTTTATTTTCCATGGTCTCCACAGGTGAAAGTCGTAAATCATCCTGAAATGTTGATATCCACATAAAAGTATTTATTTTCTTACTGAAATCTTTGCTACTTTATTGAAATGTAAAATGCAACTGATATGCTACAAATTTACTGTGCATTATCGGCCAGATTTTCTGGCAGTAATCAACAAACATTTAATACAGAGCTACTGGAGAGTACCATAAGAATACACATGCATAATTTAAATGAACATCAAACTTTGGCATAAATGAAAAGGAAAAAAATAGCTTATATTGTGCAGACAAAACAAACAGACATATTCTTCCATCTTATATCAACAGAGATGTCAAAATAGATAGGTTGTTGAGGAAACACATGTCTTCCTTTAATAGACGAGGTGGAATTAAAACACCTGCAAATTACTGCTGCGGATACGCTGAGAAGACAGGCTGCAAGGCTGTCATTCCCAGAAGAACAACTTTTTATGGTGATATTTTTGGGAATTGGAGATAAAAATGTCAGTGCCTGGAGAAGTGTGTGGAGAGGTGGATGAAATACTTAGCCTGCTCTTCACTTTTGGCATGCTATACAAGTTTTGTTTGTTTTTTCCTCCTAACACACGGAGAGAAATAGATAGATGATATTTTGGGTTATTTCTTTTTTTGAACATGAGTAAGGCTTTAGTCTTTGGGAAGCAGTTTTTAACTTTTTGTTTGTTTTGCTTTGTGGCACAACAAGCGAATCAATATTTGGTAGTAATGCACATGTTAAAAATATCACTGTTATTGGTAGTTGATGTATTTTTAGTATGAAATATTGACCGTCCAGTGCTTTCCCAGTTATGTGTACGTGTATATATCTGTCTGTCTGTGAGAATACAGAAGCTGCGGAGCTTACCAGGTTTTATTAGCCTGGGGAAGGGATTGTTTCAATGGCCTAACACATAACAAGTATTAAAAGACTACCGATAAGATCTCTGATAACTGGTGGAGGGGGGGGAAAGCTTCCTTTATTTAGAGAGTGTCAGAATATATACAGTATTCCCTAAGTATGCATTTACATGTGTGTCTGAGCTCATTAAAATTGTTAATTGTAGAGGAAAGTTCATCATTCTTGCTTTATTAATAACAGGCCAGTACAGTTTTCTGTGCTCACTTGCAGCTTTTGTCGATGTCTGTTGCTGTTTAGAGTGTGCCTAGAATGCAGAATCAGGTCCACTTGAAACACTTTGCATATAAATTAAGTTGCTTGCTTAACTTAATTGGCTGATTTGGCTTTGTTGCACTAGTGCAAATCCAGTGACAATATGCAATTTTGCTGGATTTACACTGGAATACCTGACACCAACTTTTTACATTAAATTTAGAAACCTTATGCAGAATTATGATTTTAGTAATCCACCTTCTATAATGAGACAAGAAAAATGTGATACGATAAATTCCTTCAATAATCACTAACTAAATAAGGCTTTTTATTTTCGAGGAAAGACCAATGGTAACTGTTTCAGAGGTGAAAAAAAATTCTCAAGTTTTTAAAAAATGTGTCTTACTGGAAAAAAGTGATAATTTCACTGCAAAACGTGTATCTCGTTCTATCAGGTGTGGATGCACTATGGCAAAATAAAAGTGTAACATTTCAGGAATTTTATTTCTTCATTGTTTTTTATAAAATAATGCTCCAAAATATGTATAAAACCCAAGAAGTTTTATAAAGAGATAATAAGATACTTTATTTTTCTTATGGGCTACTTATTTTATTCTCCTTTGGCATTAGAGAATATCATATTGCAGAGTAATGCTTATAGACTGATTAATAATAGGTGCCACCATTTTCGTTAAATCAAATCTCTCCACCCATCCTCTGCCCTCAGAGGAGTAACAGATGATTCGTCAGCCTCTGAAATTCTGATAAATGTTTACCCGGTATCTAAAATAGCGTGGTTATTTCCTCTGATGGAACCTTGGAAAGTGAGATGTGAATCAATACCACTCAAAAAGCCTACATATGTGCTACCTATACAGTTATGTAGTTGTCATTTTCTCATCCTGCATGCCTCCAGAAATTATTCTTACCGAACCCAATAATTCAGCCTTTTAACTGTAGCTTCATGTTTCTGCAAAGAGATCATTGCACATGGGTTTTCTCCAAAAGTGTAAATATAAGTCTCTACGCAGAAAGGTTCCTATTCTTTATCTGGATTAAAATCTCTTTAGTTCCAAAAAAAGTTATAGATTTTATTGTCAAACTAAAGCCTTCCCATTCTCTACAGTGGCATAATAAATGTTTTTTCCTCCTTCACAGATCTTTTCATAATTTGACCCATTAACTGAGAACATCAATTTGTTCTCTATAAAATACACCAGAAAAGAAAAGCATGTGTAGAAGAATGATGAACTACCCTCTGTGCTTGTTTATCATTTGCTTATATTTGTAATTCTACAAAGCTTACAGAATGGTTTTTTGGACTTGCATAGTCACAGCAGTGCTGTATATAGTAGTGTGTTTCAGACCGACATGCAACTGGTACGTTTGTAGACCATTACTTTGCATTGCAGCACAGGTAGTAAGAAAGTGATAAAGCAGTGTTCTAACACTGTATAGCTTGTATAGTTTGCTTTTTCCCAACCCTTAGACCACCTTAGACCACAATATTCAAGCAGTGTCTTATTTGGTATATCTACGAATCAAGTGCTGCACACAGTTAGTAATTGCTTTGCTTTTTTTTGTTTCCTTCTTTTCTAGATTTCTTGGTGTTACGCAGTTCTCTCCTACTCATGCCAGAAAAGCCTTTCCTTGCTTCGACGAGCCTATCTACAAGGCCACTTTCAAAATCAGCATCAGACATCAAGCAACTTACTTATCTTTGTCCAACATGCCAGTGGAAACTTCTGTTTTTGAAGAGGATGGATGGGTTACAGATCACTTTTCACAGACCCCTCTCATGTCTACATATTACCTAGCTTGGGCAGTGTGCAATTTTACATACCGGGAAACTGTCACCAAAAGTGGAGTAGTTGTAAGTATTTCTAATGTTGTATCAAATACATTTCGTTGTTTTGAAAACCCTCACTTTTTGTAAGGGATCATAACATCAAGTACTTAAAGTACTTTCTCGATTAGTGTTCCTAAAATTTGCCAGTTTATTTAATGATAGCGCGGTTTTTTTGGGACCTTTTCTGAAGGTTTGACATTTTTGCTTTGTCTACTGCTTTTTTGTAACTGGTTAACTTAGTAGGTGTAGTTCTCTGATGAAATTTTAAGCTTTTAAATATGCCAGTTCAATTCATCTTGGTTTTCTTGGGAAGTTTTCTCTTGTTTTTCCTGTGGCCTTTTCCATAGCAGTGTTTGTGGAACTATTTATTAAAAGACAGCAGTAATACTGGCAGGGTTTCCAGTCTCTATCCTTCAGTACTGACATGTCCCTTTGATGTGCTGCATGCTAGCTCATGAGGCTCATAGAGTAATTTCTGTCTTAGGACTTTACAACCTATCAACTTCCTGTGGAGGTCCAGGTTGATGAAAGCACTTTCTGGAACTGTTGTTTCCAAATATGGCGTGGTTCCAAGAGTTATGCCATGAAAAAAAAGAAAATCCTTTATTTATGTCAGTTTTGTTTTTGTTTACAAATATCAAGCTCAGAACTGTGTAACAAGCCAAAACATATATGAGAAATGCTGTCAGCTTAGTAGAATATTTCACAGCGCTGTCATCTCAATTTTTGAGGTGAACATCCACAGAAACCTTTCCTTCTTAGTTACTGTGGATAACAAAACAGAGCTACTTCTGAAAGCAGAGGACCAAGCAGCAGTTTAAGCTGTGTGCCTGTCCTGGTTTGAGATAAAACAGAACCAGTTTTCTTTTACTGACCAGCCCAGTCCAAACCATGACAGTACCTGAGTAAAGGGGGTATTTATCTTATACTTCTGCAAATGCTTTATGACTTTCTACTGTAGCCTGGGGACATGAGTAAGGACAGCAGGCCTGCCTTCCATGGCTATATCAGATCAGGAAACATCTCCATGTGGTAAGTTTTCAGCCAAATCAGTTGTCTGATCCAGCTTTTTTGAGAGCCCTAGTACAGATTCAAGTCTGTGCCGAAGATGAGGGAGGGTGGACCCAGGGCAGTCCTTTTCACTGGCGTTCCTATTTTAGGCCATACTGAAGTGATCAGAAAGTAAGTCTTGGTTTGGTGACTGGAACAGCTGGGTAGGACACCGATGGCCTTTCACTCCTTTACAGCCCTTTCATACCATGGGCAGCAGATGATGACAATACCCTCTGGCGCCATGAAAGGCAAGGAGAAAGCATGGCTAGGAAGTGGATCTCTGAGATGGCTTAACTTGTGAGTGTAAGGAGGTGGGAACTGCTGAGGCCATGCTTGTAGTCCTAGTGGTTAGCTGTGATGGCTGAAAGCTTTTGGGTTTGTGGAGTTGGTTTTGTTTGGTTTTCTATTTCTTTTTTTTGGCAAGGTTGTTTCTCTGTCGGTTCAATGAGCTGAGTTAATTTAGAAAAGAACCTCACAAGTGCCAAGGCAAAGTAAGGAGGGAGAAGTGGATGCCTCGTTCTTAGTGTTGCTACCAACAGATTAAACGAGGGAATTGCTCTTGGGATGAAGAATTGGTTGCCTCTGGCTGTTGTAATACTCCTAGAATCATAGAATGGTTTGGGTTGGAAGGGACCTTAAAGATTATCTAGTTCCAATCCCCCTGCCATGGGCAGGGATACCTTCCACTAGACCAGGTTGCTCAAAGCCCCATCCAGCCTGGCCTTGAACACCTCCAGGGATGAGGCATTCACGTCTCTGTTCCAGTGTCTCGCCACCCTCACAGTGAAGAATATCTTTTTAATATCTAATTTAAATCTACCCTCTTTCAGTTTAAAGCTTATCTTATCGCTACGCTCCCTGATAAAGAGGAGTGTTCACTGGCCTAATAGAACAGAGTCAGGCCATTTCTTACTCCCTATCAACTAGTACAAAATCAGACTTCTATCCAGGTAGGAGTTGATGATTTTCATTGTAATGTACTTCTCCTGCTGAAGGATTTGGTCTTCAGCTAAGAATGGCCTCATATTTTTCAGCTGTAGAAAACACTCATTACTCGAGGTTCTCCTTCAACTCTACTAAGATGGAAGTTTTTGGTGTATAATCTTGTAGGCAGGTCTGGTGTTCCTTGTGCTCTAGTACAGTGTAATGCTTACAAGTTTGTCCTGTGTAGTATTACCCTGTTATCTCACTTTGAAATGTCCTAGACTCATCTGAGAAAGAGCTGCAAGTAGTTCAGCTTCCAACATTGGTGCAAGCAAATACATGAAATAGGGGGGATGGACCTCAGGACCATCATTTTGAAAGATATAACCTAATTCCTCTTTAACTCATTTTCTTTTATTGTTATTCAGAGCTTAGACTTTTGCTGCTTGACTATGTTTGATACCATGAAAAAAGAGGGACACTCATGCCTTATAGACAATAATTGATAACATTCTGCTGTTCTCGTGTTTGGCAAAACTGTTCTCAGGACTTTAGGTTTAACAGGAACCTGAAGAGAAAACCTAAGTATTAATTTGTTAGGAATTTGTGGCTGCTAAAGTCTGATAGGAATGCTTGAGTCTGTTGGTTCAGCGCATGTAGGACATACATATATGTACTGTACCAGCTTGCCAGTACCACTGTACAGAACTTTGCCAAAAATTATGCAAATTAGTAGGTAATCTTTGCAAAGACTTGAAGACTAAATGCCTACATAGATTGAGATAGTTTCTTATCCCATAAAATTGTTCAGTTAGTCTAGACTTTTAGCTCCTGTTTTTTATAATGCCTATATCACAGAGGTCTATTAATACCCCAGAATACCAAAATAGTTTACACTGAGTTATTGGTTAAATATGTCTTGCTGTTTTTCAGTCCATTTGTGATTTGATCGTCTTTAAACCTCGTTCAGTTTTGTTGAAAGAGTATCTTAGGGTATGAACTTATGCCAAACACTTCAGTTCAGAGCTGTGTTCATTCAGATGAATTGCTGAGGTAATCCATCTTTTTGAGTCGTTTGTATTGCAGTAGCAGGAGTTCATGGACACTACTGAATGAATTTGAAATTATCTGAATCCTGGCACATACACTGTAAACTTCTTGGTTTCCTCCAGAGCCACTTTTTCACTAAAATTTATTTGCTCCGGTATCCACGGCAATGAACTTAAATGTATGATAAAAGTAAGTTTGCTTGTAAAAATGAATGAACGTTCAGGAAAGTGAACCATCTTGATAGGCATTTTTTTGCATTGGGGAATCTTTCTTCAATTAATGCAATATATATTGTATAGAAGACTTCAGCTTGCACCTACTTTTGCTTTTGTTTTGGCACTTTCATGGATGTGGTTTTGGTTCACAGAACATTTTGGGGCGAGGGGGCTGTCCTTTCAAATTTTGACAGCTTACTAATGATGGAAATCTCACCTCTCTTCCAGCTGACCAGTCTTACTAAAATGCTATGGTTAAGAGTAGGTAAACTCCCCAAGGAACTGGAAAAAATGGTGAGATTAAAAGCAGAGCTGTTTCTCAAAAACGGTTGAGTGCTAGCTGTTCAGTTTTTCTCAAAGAATGAACATTGACCTCAAAATTAATGTTAACCTAAGCGCAAGATTCAAATACATAGCAAGTTATAAATAGAAACTGGCTTTTGGAAAGCTTAGGTATCCAATCAAAATACTAATTTTGATATATTCTATATAATTCTTGCAGACATTAAGGTGTTCTGTACACCAAAATGAATTTGGAAAGGGGAATTAAGACAAGCAGTGCTTTTCTAGGAGTACAGCTCAGTGGACGTGAATCAATAGCATAACTCTTCAGTCTCCATATGGGTCTGATCAGAATTCCTTCCAGAGCAGGTAATTAAAAGCAGAGTTGACTTTCTATGTGCATTACTGATATATAATATGTTGTTCAGATTCACCTGGAATTACAGGAAATCACTGCAACTGCCTTTGCCTTCGGGCAGGGCCTTGATTCCTGTGGAAAGGACTGTGGTGCGGTCATCTGTGCTGCTGCAAACTAGGGAGCAGTGTAATTCTACCAGGGTGCTGACTGAGGTAATGCTGTTTTGAGGGAGGAGGGATGCCCTTATGAGCAGGCTTTGCTGATCTTCATATGGCTCTAGCAGTTGTGCCAGCTGTAGTTGGTGAAATTCATGGATCTGTGTACTGTCGTCTTTTCACAGTACAGTAATCCAGAAGACTCACCTTCACATGCTTGCTTCTGCTCACATGTTGTGTTTCCTAATCATACCTCTTATGTATGCTCGTTGTGAGTAATTCTTAAAAGCAAAATATTGCTGGCTGGATTGTAATGTCTGTCACATCATCTGTGTGTCTCTTTCCTTCATTGTTGTCTTTATCTGTGCTTTCAATCCACCAGGCCTTTTCCTACTATTGTTACTTCATTTTTCCACTGTCTGGATTTATTTTTACTGTAGATGTTTAACTGTACTTTCTCCAAACCCTCTGTTTCTCATTCCTTTGTCAGGTGCACATACCTTCTTACTGTCTCACAAGTTATTTTAATTCCTTTTTTTCCTGCTAATTCTTTCTCTTCTCAGTTAGTGGAGGGAGTGAGCGCTCAGGGACAAAGCAGAGCATATAAGTGGAGATGAACGCCCTGCTGGAAAGAGATGTTTCAGGGAGATTCATCTTTTACCATTCTTCTCTTTTGCTGTGGATGGGAGGTGGAGAAATCTATGGAAATAAAGTGCCAGCTGGCAACTATAACGTGTTTGGCTCTTCTCAGGGGGTGTATCTGTTAAAAATGAAAAACAGAAAGTGCGTGGAAAGGTGTGGAGTCAGGAGTTGTGGGTGCAGGGGTTAGAAGAGTGAGTACAGGCAGTGCCAGAGCAGATGGGAGTGAGCAGCAGTGAAAGGAAGTGGCTATCTGGCTGGGTGGTGGTGAGTGGGAGGAGGAATGCCGATGGAAGGCAGTGCTGAAAGAAGAATTTTGCGTGGTCTCACTTTTGCTGCTCCTGCTCC